CAGCTGTGGGCTGCACACAGGTGCAGCAGGTGCTAAATCATTTTAAATAATTTATTTTAAATAAAAATTCCATGCCGATCTTGTGGCTCATCCATCAATCAGCCAATTGTGTGTCAAGTCCGATCTCACTTTGAAAAACCGCGATAGAGTGAGTCCGCGACAAACGAACCACAAAGCGAGGGGCTACTGTAATGTTGAAAATGTACCTAGTGCACAAAACGTTAAGCCAAAACCACCAAGAGTGTATAATTCTGTTAAAGTCTTTTATTTTGTTGATGTGATGATACTCTGTGTTGATGAACTTACCTTGCCGTACTCCAACTCGTAGGAAACGGACACTGTGGCTCCAGGCAGTTTGCCTTTCTTTCTGACCAGAACAAAACCGAGGCCGAGCCTCTGGGCCAGCAGAGGTCCAAACAGGAAACCACGGGCATCCAGACCTGCCACAGAACCACATCAGAGCAGAACAATTCTTGTTACTAATGTACAAATGAGATTTTATGATGATTAGGTTCAAATCAAACCGTGCTCACACAAGTTCTCAGGATCATTTTATGTAAATGACAAAAATGTTGCATCAACTCAGACTTTGTAAACACAACAACATAAAGAGACATTTCTGTTGCCTCTCAGTGAGACGGTCGCTGGTTCAAATCCTGGCCTGGGTCTTTCTGGGTGGAGTTTGCATGTTCACTACGTGCCGAGTGGGTTTTCTCCAGGTACTCCAGTTTCCTCCCACAGACCAAAAACATGCATGTTAGGCTGAATGGTAACTCTAAATTGTCTCTAGGTGTGAGAGAGAGAGTGAATGGTTGTTTGTCTTGTTTGTCTCCATGTCCCTGTGATGGACTGGAGACCTGTCCTGGTGTCCCCCACCTCTCACACAGTGGTAGCTGAATATGGACACTAGTGACCCCCGTGACCCATGTAGTGAACCTGATCTGAACCTCAAATCTTGATCAGATGAACTGAGACTGTTATTTCATCGATCTGCATCCAGGAATACAGTTTGAGCCATCTGGTGACTTTCTTTCTTGAATTAATCAAGCAGAAAAGACAATTCTCTATGATCATTACTATTTTACAAATGTTTGATAATCAAATTGTGTTAGTTCACTCAATGTTACAGGTTGAAAAGAACTACTCATTTTTATTTTACATAAACAGTAAGTAATGATTTTTATTCCTCATTCAAAGAAGAAATCAGGTTAATATGCATTTCTTGATTTTTCTGTCTGCAATGTAAGTATGTTAAAGGTCGGTTCTCGGTCAACTAAAATGTTTACCGAGAAAAATGTCATGTTTAAACTTTTTCAGAAGATAATAAGAGTGAGACTCCACGAAGTCTGAAGTCCTACAATAATCTTTCTGTTGTCACTAAAACAATCCTTGACTTATGATAACATCTTACATCACAAACCACACCTCTATTTCTGGTCCATCGACCAATCAAAAAGCTCTCAAATGACCCGGAAGTCGACCCATTTAAAATGTGGCAACTTCCCAGTTCATGCAGAGGCTGAGGAGTTGCAAGAAGCTGAGACGCAGAGTCTGGGAGTGATAGAGTCCAAGAGTCTCAGAGTGATGGAGGTTCTGAAGAAGTTCTAGAGTCTGAGAGTTCTGATGTCCGATGGAGAAAGTCTGATGTCTGAAGCCCAGAGTGCTTCCGTTGGAATACAGAACGCAGTGACGATGTTGGGATTATAATTTCTGTTTGAACACCACGCACGACTCTCGAAGGATTTCAGCTGCTCAACGGAGACGCTGAAAGAGTCTGAAGGATTCTATACCGAGCTGATTTCATCGTCAACCAGGTAACGATCTACTTCAACCGAGCGTACCGTCGCAAGCTGAGATCCGATGGAGCGTGCACGTTCTGGTCATAACAGATTAATTCCCTCACATATCTCTCTGTAAGATAAATCTCCAGTTCCAGCTTAAACTCTGCTTTCTCCTAAAATCAGTACAGATATTTAGAAATATCTGAAGCAAAGTCCTCAATCACCGCCGCGTGATTGAAGCCCATTTTTTGTGAAACTTGTCTGTTATTATTTTCATATTTTGCCAAATTAATGTAAATGTTTGATGTTAAACTTTGATTCTGAAAATAAATGACCGCATTCATTTGATGGGTCAAACATAAATAACGTCTCTCGTTACATTTCTGTTAAAATTCAATGCACGACATTACACAGTCAGAAAGATGAGGAACTCGTGAAAATTGTATGCATATATCTCGTATATGTACTACTACACCCAAAAAGGAAAAAGTGGTAAAGATGATGGATGGATGGATGTATGGATGGTTTTAGGAACATTTAGCTTATAAGAGAATGACTGTAGAGGTCAGACAGTGCTGCCAGCAGGGGGCGCTAACACCCCACCTTGCTACACACAGTACTTAGGCTCTTGTACAAAGTGGCACCATATTTAATGTATTGATCAACAATAGTTGTAGTTTTTCAGATCTTAATACTTGAGGGCAAACATTTGTTCATTACAGAGAATTCTGAACTATAATAATTAAACCAAAATCAACACAATAAAAACTAAATTAACACTAGAAATATGGCGATAACATTCTGAGGAAACGAGTATCTTTATTTACCAAAATAATACCTTAGGAGCAACAATTAACCCTTTAATGATCTGAACTAGGAATTTGAATATAAGTTTATCTAAAGCAGAAGGATATTTGAACCTGACGTGTAAATAAGAACAGTTTAGGATTGTATATGTGTAAAGAATTCAGATAATTCTTTAGTCTTTTGATGAATAGTTCACTTTAGATTTTAGAACAGGAGGATGTTAATCATTCTGCCAGATTGTTAAACTACTGTAGTCTGAACCAGAACCAGGTTTAAAATTGTCTGTTCTCATCACTGGATGTTAGTCAGTGCAATAAATGAATACATTCATGTATGCAGACAATGACGCGTGATGTTTTGGGTGACCATCTCACCTACGATCACATCGACGTTCTGATGATGTTTCCTCACGTGTTCTTCCAACAGATCGATCACTGCTGTAAGAGCAGCTGGATTCTTCAGGATCGGACAAACATCTCTGCAGGATGAAAACATTTACTATTAACAACAAAGTCCATGCTCAATAATCCAGGTATACAATCCAACATTTTTCAGTCAGGTCATCTGGACAGTTTCTTTTTTTGTGCTGAAACGTTTCACCTTCGATCCAGAAGACTTCATCAGTCAAGGAAACACAACAAAACTGATTCTTCCCCCAACAGCTTACTCCAAAGTAGAACACTATTAATCTTTGAAAAAGCAGGAACACTGTTACATTTTCTTCACAGGAGCTGGGAATCTCTGCCTCATAGTTACAGTATTTGATATATTTCCAACACTGCATACTATATAACTCAAGTATACATATTCATGTAGAATATACATGTAAATATTAACGGTTTGTAGTATTTTGATATTGCATCTTTGTGGATTTCTCTGGCATCAATGATTGTGTAAGTACATAAATATGTGTACGTACATGGGTGTACTGAAATACTAAATATGTAGCAAATTAATTTATACTTTCCTCTTTTTTTCTGCGCAAAAAAATAGTTATTTTATTGAATGCACAGATTTTTACATATTTTATTATAAATGTTTTTTTTCATTTTACAACATACTTTTTACAGTGACAGAAGTTCTATTTGTTCTTGTTCAAACCTGTAAATAAATGTGTCTAATCTCCAAATCACTGCATGATGTTTTTATCGCCCACCTCCGACAGGTGGATGTTTACTGTTTATACCTTTGTCTGTTAGCAAAATATCTAATGGACCAATGGACAAAATTTAATGAAACTCTCAGGAAGTAAACTACAGCTACAATTGAATTGAATAACTTTTGAAGTCAACCCAATTCAAGATGGTCGTTACAGCGAATCAAACGTCAAACACAGAGCTGTCTACAACTCAGTCAACTTTACAGATACTGAGCAAGCGTTTGGTGTGGTGGTAGCAGAATGTCGCCTCCAAACAAACAGAGCTGAGAGATTGCACAAGATTTTTATTTAAAGGTTCAACATTAATTAATGGAATGAACTCTGTTAGCAAAATGTCTTGTAAACCAATAGAAAAATGTTACTTTGTCACTATATTCTAATTTATTGAATACATCTGCACTAAGCGGTCTGTGATGTTAACATCTTTCCTTTTAAGTACATTTTTAGATATTAATACTCCCAGATATTTTACTTCATTTTCGACCATGATTGTCAAATTGTTTTTTTATGGATACAATTATGAATGGGCAGAATCTCACATTTTTTAATGTCATGAAGCCTTGGAAAATAACAAAATTTTATTAAGAGCTCTTTCACCCATTAAATTATTTTTCAAAAACTGTTGTATCATCAGCAAATTGTCTAAAACTGTATTCTCTATCAAAATGTTGCAATACTGAGTTAAGATTAAACCCTCCTGGTACAAAGGTTCCTTCCTGACAAAAAAGGAAGTCTTTCTTCAGCTTTCAAAAAGCTCTTCCTTAAAGGAAAGGACTTACTTTCATTAAGTGTCATACTTGTTTTACTTTATTATATATCTATTATATTTATTAGTAGTACTGAACCAAACTATTAGTTTATCTGGAAATGTAACAGTCTTCTTGCTGGAAGAAAGAAGCTTTTCCACTTCAATCGTAAATAAAATCTCACCTGAACAGGATTCCTTTCTTGGGAAAGTCCGGGAAAGCTCGGATGTGTGTTTGAACCAGCTGAAGTTTGGATTGTGAGTCCTGTGTGGCCATTCTTCTTGTCTCTGGAGGCTCTGCAATGACCGCATGAGAGTCGCGCATGCGCAGCCGCCTCGTCTCAGTTTGGTTGAAAAACGATTCTAAAGTTGAATAATCGCCCCCTACTGGACTGGAGTATAAACGGCCCGGAAATAAATCCCAAAATTAATCTAGATTTTTATTTTTTTTTACGTGCACACTCCAAATAGATTTTTCTTTGCGTAACAAAAAGAAAAAAGAAAAAAGTGATGATGTCTCGTTTACTACAGTGATTAATTTGTGAATATGTTTGTTATTAATTGATATGGTCAAGCTCAGTCCTCACCTCCTTCTACAGGTGTGCAGTGGAGAGCATCCTGTGCTCCAGCATCAACGTGTGGCATGGAAGCTGCACAACTGCAGAAAGAAAAGCTTTGCAGAGAGTGGTGAAGGCTGCACAGAAGACTGTTGGAGTCAGTCTCCCCACCATCACAGACATCTACACCTCCAGATGCAGGAAGAGGGCCACCTGCATCATGAAGGACCCCACTTACCCAGCACACACACGTTTTGCCCCACTCCCCTCAGGAAGGAGGTTGAGGAGCATTAAGTGTAGAACCACTAGACTGAGGAACAGCTTCTACCCTGAGGCTGTTAGACTCATGAATCCCTAACCAGAATAATCACTGTGAAAAATCACATCATGTTGCTGCTGATCTGTTTCATGTTGCTGCTGATCTGTTTCAATTTGCTGCTGATTTGTTTTTATGTTGCTGCTGATCTGTTTCAATGTTGCTGTCGATCTGTTTCATGTTGAGGTGTTCATGCGTGCTCATCTGTTCACACAGACTCATGCTCATGTTCATGCTGCTGTTCGACGTAATGTTTTTATGCTACTAGTGCTTAGTGTATTTTTAGTTGATGTTTTTCTTAGTTCATATCTTAGATCTTATTACTGTTTTCCTTAAACATTAATTTTCAAAGTTCTGCTGTCAATCTAAAAAAACTACGGAAACAGTTTTCTAATACAGTTTCATAATTCACTGGTGGTTCAGTCAACTTTGTGTGGTTTCACAGCACATTTTACTGGAATATAAACCGTATGAACAAGAAGTTAAAAACAAAACTGGTCTACGTACTTCAGAAGAAAGCTATCCAAATTATAACTGCGACTGATGACTTTCATCCAACTAATGACATATTCCTTACATTGCATATTTTAAAGTTTTATGACTTAGTAGAACTGGTGTATACAAAATGGTTCAAAATTAAAGAAAAAAAAAAACTATGATTTACGACAGAAGGATTTATTTAAAAAACAACAAAGGTTAGGACAAATATTAAAAACAACTGTGCTTCAGTTAGAGGGATTCAGGTGTGGAATAGTTGCCATAAGGACTTTCAATGTGTTTTTCACTCTTTAAATTTAAAAAAGTGTATAAAATCATTTACTAAACAAATATAATAAGGTCTGATTGTTTTTTTGTTTTTTTTGTTAGTTTTTTTTTTCTCCTTTCCTTTTTTTGATTTTTTATGAGTTTGTCTTTCAGTTTAGCTGGAATTCTTTGATATGTTTTAGAAAATTATACAGGAAAGTATTCTGCTGCTTTGATTTTGATGTATAACAAAGTGAAGGTATAATAAATTTATGATTCTGCCTACACTTTTTTCAGTCTACTCTGTATGTTTTCATGTTTTTTTATGAAACTGGTTCAGAATGTAAATATAGGAACAGGACTGGATAAGCCATTGCTTCTTCCTGCTCCCTTTTCAAACATTTTTGTTTTGTTTCCAGAATATTTTGGTGGAAATATTTACGTTTTTTATTTGTTCATAGTTTTGTTGACATTTTTAACTGTTTGAAATAAAAATAAATAATTAAAACAGCATTTTAGAGATGTCATTGTGGGTCATCCATCCATCCATCCATTATCTTTTACCCGCTTCTTCCATTTCAGGTCACGGTGGTCACCGGTGGCCATGTCCAGCAATCACTGTGCGAGGGGCGGGGGACACCTGGACAGGTCTCCAGTCCATCACAGGGACACATAGAGACAAACGAGACAAACAACCATTCTCTCTCTCTCTGACACACACCAAGGGTCAAATAATGCCAATTTTGAAAACCACAGTTCTTTCTGTTCATCTTCCAGTCCAGCAGGGGGCAGTAACGTACTTTGATGCTGGTTTGCCACCCACCATGAAACCCTCAGAAGCACCGGGCTTCAAACGAAACGAGGAAGAAGATGCAGTGGATGTTAGGAGATGTCGGCTGTTTTCAGTCGTGTGGAGTTCCTGTTCATCGCTGCTCATCGAGCTGTGGCTCAGACTCCTAGCGGCTGTACAAGATGGAGAAAGTTACCTTCTTGGAACCAGAGGAGAGCTCTCTCTAACAATAATAATATAACAGGTATTTGTTTTCCGACTCTACCACCATCTCGGTACCATTCTGCTCATATACTTGTTTTATAGCTCATATGTTACACGGCCTTGAACTAATATTAGTTGATAAAATGGCGGCCTTACGTATAAACTCTTCTGAAGAGTAAATAGAACCAAGATCAATAGAAAAATTGCAGCTGCCGCCAGTGGCTCATCAGGGTCACCATGGTAACCACACACCTGTATAGGAGACTACACAAAATGACCTAAAACATCATCAGATTTTCACTCAAGTCCTAAAAGTAGATAAAGAGAACCCAGTTAAACTAACGAGACAAAAATATTATACTTGTTCATTTATTTATTGAAGAAAACGTTGGCTACGTACTGTAACCCCAGATTCTATGAGTATAGGCTTCGCCCTTTAAGGCTGTTGCTGATGGGTTTATCCCGATATGCGTAGCATTGCACTGAAAAATTTAGTCCACGCCCACCTGCTGTGTGGGCCCCACCCGGTCCGTATAAGTTACATTAAGAGCGGGAAATCGGCTCCCAAAATAGCTTTTTCTTCAGCCATTTAAGAGCCAGTGAGGCCCAACGCTTAAAGGGCTACGCTTATACTCATAGAATCTGGGGTTACAGTACGTAACCAACGTTCTATTTCGTATAAGCTTCGCCCTTTAAGGCCGTCGCTGATGGGTTAAGGGCGAAGCAGATGTTGTCCTCGCCTCACTGCGTCCATACGAACATCGTATGAAGCAGAAGCTTGCCCAAAAAACGTCTCGTCACTCAGCTCTCCATTATGTGTGCTATGCACAGACGCATGTTGTGTAACTATGCGTTCTGAATGCATGAACGCCCCGGAAAATTCAACGGGGAGGGAAAAATGCTGAAAAGAGCCATGAACCAACCGGTTTACGACTGAACAGTATGAACAGATTAATAATAACAGGAGAGCTGATTATTAATCAAATGAACTGATTGGTAACAATAGTCGTGAACTGATTAGTGACAATAGAACCAAAATAACAATCACAACTTGTGACTGATAACAACATCTCACACTGTAATGCATGCGGACAGATGTGAGTTAAACGGAGTTCCATGAAACAACAATATTTATTCTGTAAACACTAAAGACAGAATGTGTCATGGAATGAGCCATCACATCACGTAGATAAAAGCGAATAAATGAGCAGGGTGTTGACCACGCGGCCGCAGTGCAAAATGTCCTGCATTGTCATACCATTATGCAAGGCAGTCGAAGATGCGATACCCCTGGTCGAGTGTGCTCTGAGGTTGACAGGAGGCTCTAGATCTGATGCTCTGTAGGCTTCAGAAATGGCCTCACACAACCAGTGTGACAAGCGCTGGGTGGATAACGGGCGACCTGCAGATGCATCTCTATAATGCACAAACAAATGCTGATGCATTGCAGCTGTCCGCGCTATGTAACACATCAACGCCCGCACCGGACAGAGAAGATGAAAAGACGCTACTTCTTCTGATCTGTTTCTGAGGGGGGTGGGGGACCCCCTCCAACGATATTGTTCCCCCCCTCCAACGATGGGGGGGGGGGTGTGTGACCCCCTCCAACGATATCGCTCTTGATTTAAAAGAGCTCGTGATGTTTTTAGACATAAAAGCTGGGTTTGGTCTTAAATCAGCTGAGCTGCCGTCAGCCTGAATTCTGAGATATGACGGAGCGACTGAGAGGGCAGATAAATCGCTCACTCTCTTAGCGGATGTTAAAGCCAGCAGCAGGGCTGTTTAAAGAGACAAGAATTTAAGTGGAACCTGATCCAAAGACTCAAATGGAGCTTTGATCAGGACCTGCAGAACCAGTGTTAAATCCCACTGTGGAACAAGTGGGTGTGAAACAGGCCTGCGTTTCTGTACACCTTTTAGAAAATGCTTCATCAGCGGATGATTAAAAACTGTTCTGTCTCCGATCCGAACCCTTCGTGGCAGGAAGAGATGACTGCAGTGTACGTTTTAATCGTGCTGGAAGCCAAGTTCCTGTCCATCAGCTGTTGTAGAAAGGACAGCATGCCACCTAATGGACATGAGGTGGCCTCTACACCCTTCTCTGTACACCAGCGCTGAAAAGCTGTCCGCTTTGATGTGTACAGCGCTGTGGTAGATGTAGCACGTGAAACCTGAATTTTGCGCACTACATCCTGTGGGAGACCCATCCTCTCAGCGGATCCGTTCAGCGACCAGACCCACAGGTGCTGGCCTATTTCTGGGTAACTCCTGGTCGCTCCTCCTGCCTGGAGGAGAGCGTCCTCCCTCCATGGCAGTTTCCACGGGCGCCCCGACAGCAGGCGTTGCAGGACTGGGAACCATGGTGCGCTCACGCGTTCGGGGGCCACCAGGAGAGCTGTCAATCCCTCCTCCTGAACTTGGTTCAAGAACCATAAAATCAGAGGAGGTGAAGGAAAACGCGTACAGAAGCATTTTGGGCCATGGGCTGTGGGCAAGCGCATCCACCCCCAGCGGTGGTTCGTCTCGCGGCTCAGAGAAAACCATAATTGACACTGAGCGTTTTCTCGTGTCGCAAACAGGCCCACAGCTGCCATTTCAATCTGAGTCAAAATGCTCCATCAGAGGATGATTAAAGGTTGTTCTGTCTCCGACAACTTTGAGACAAGAAGAAAAACATGGCTGCAGCATACGATAATCGTGCTGAACGCCAGATTTCTGTCCATCGACTGCTGCAGAAAAGGACAGCATGTCGAGTGGACATGAAGTGGCCTCTACGCCTTCTCTGTACACCTTTTACAAAATGTTTCATCAGCGGATGATTAAAGCTGTTCTGTCTCAAAAATTTTGTGACAGGAAGAGATGGCCGCAGTGAACGTTTTACACGAGCTGAACGCCAGATCTCTGTCCATCAGCTGCTGCAGAAAGGACGGCACACCACCTAGTGAACATGAAATGGCCTCTACACCTTTCTCTGTACAGCAGCGCTGAAAAACTGACCACTTGATGTGAACAGTGCTGTGGTGGTTGCAGCACGTGAATTCTGAATCGTACGCACTACATCTTGAGAGAGATCCATCCTCTCAAAAGGATCCGCACAGTGGCCAGACCACAAGTGCTGGCCTATTCTGATTAACTCCTGATCGCTCCTCCCGCCTGGAGGAGAGCGTCCTCCCTCCACGGCAGGTTCCACGAGCACCCCAATAACAAGTGTCGTAGGCCTGGGAACCATGTTGCGTTCACGCACTTGGGACAGAGGAGCTGTCAGTCCCTCCTCCTGAGCTCGGTTCAGAAAACCGTGATATCAGAGGGAGGAGAGGGAGGTGAAAAAGCATTACGGCCATAGGCTGTGAGCAGGCACGTAATTATAGTTGACATCGAGCGTTCTCTCGTGTTGCTACACGTCCACAGGCGCTGGCAGGATTTCTGCCGTGTCTGAGCCATAGCTCTGGGTGGAAGGTCCCAGGTCCCCGTGCCGAAAAGGACCGTCTTTGGACATCACATCCGCCCCTTGTTCAGAATACATGAGATGTACCCTACTCCAATGGAGAGCAGATTGGGTGTGCCCCACACAGCATCTGTCTCACAATGTGGCACATGGGTTGAGCGCATACATCTCCTGCCAGTTATGTATGCAACAGTCACTTGCTGTCTGTGTGATATAGGAATGATTATTTTGATGCTTTTATGTCAATTTATACTTATTTTACACTCATTTACATGTAGTTTGAAAACACACTTATACAACGTGTTATTCACATATTAGGGATTGTATTTTGTATTATGTTTTATAAGGTGTTAAGTCGCCTTTATGCCTGTTCAAACATATACTTTGTGTGTGTGTTACTTATAATATTTAGACACTCTTTGATGGTTTGCAGAGGGACGGAGGGGTGCTCTTTAGGAATGCTTTAATAAGCATTAGGAGTGCTTTTGACCTGGAAGCTTTGGCCCGCTTTTACGGTCACGGCGCTCCTTACTGGAAGGATGAGCCATCGCTTTGATGATGGTTTAATTAGATCTGTCCTTCTGGTAACCATCCAACTTGTTTTGCACTGCTCTCACGCGATCCGGTAAAAGGTATAAAGGAGGTGTGACAGGCAAGGGAATTTTGGAGGTCTGCCGTGGACTAACGCGCATGAGTGCCCGGCGCAATTTTGATGTGATTCTTCTTTACCTGGGTCGAAAACGACTTCCCGGCCAGTGTCATGGTGAGAAGTTCTTTCATATCATTTTGTGTGTTGAGTGTACGAGTGTACATGTTTTTGCTTGGCTGTTTTCTGTGGCAGGTTAATAAATGACACTTATTATTCCTAGCAGTAACAGTCTCTGTGTTTTATTTTTCCCTCTTGTCTGAATATCTTGTGCCGATCGTTCACGAACCCTTTTGATAAAGAATTTCATAATACACTGTGTGAATCAAAAACCCTGATGATTCTGCAGCTCAAGGCAAGTGTTGAATCACAGTCAAAAAACCCCGTGAGACACTCCAAAAACATTTAAATGAGCTGCTGTGTGGAGAACCACAGCGCCCCCACAGCTCGTTAAATGCGTGTGCCTTTGTGAAGTCTGACATGTGTGATGTAGGTGTAGTATGACATATCCTGAGATATATTCATACATTAAACGGGTTCACTCATCTTTCTGGACTGTGTGATGTACGTGCGTTGAATTTAACAGAAATGTGGACGTGAGACGTTAATTATCTTTGACTCACCAAGCGAGTGAGTCATTTATTAACAGAATCAAGTTTAACACATCACACATTTACATTAATTTGGCAGAATATGAAAACAACAACATAATTAATCAGCTTTACAACCAGGAAACCATACGGCCATGATTTTCCGTTGCTTCACCACAGACATTAATGAAAACATCTGGATTAATTTTCTAGCAGAAAGGAGAGTTTAAAGATGGAAAATTGAGATTTATCTTACAGAGAGATGTGTGAGGGAATTTATCTGTTTTAACCAGAACGTGCACGCTCCTTCGGAAATCAGCTTGTCCCAAACAGTACACTTTTGGTGAAGGTCGACTTTT